ACGCCAGGGTGGAGTGTGGAAAGTTCTCAGGAATGCCGCTCAAAATGGCACACCACACTACATCTAAATAAACACGGTAAAAATAGTAAGAGTGAAGGCGTGATACGAGGATATATGAAATGTGAATAGACCAGGGCAGAAGTAGAGATACCACAACTGTTTAACACACGTTTGGTCAAAGGATCGGCTTCACTTGTCTCTTTGACGAGTTGTTGTGGGGTTCTAAGACTGGCGAGACTCATTGGCGATGCCGACTACGATGCCGGCGATACGTCTGGGAATATACGAAGTCCACGGTCCGACTTTGAAAATGATCATGCATACAATGGACTACTGACTAGGTGAGTTCCTCTAAGTCTTATTACCAATATGACCAAGTTGCGAAAACAAGGTCAAACGACTTATATACAACGAAATGAGACTGCGACCACACAAAAGGCCACACCATCTTGGTCTTCATATCTTCGATTAATACTGCTTTCAACTTACTTTGCTCCATCTATGGTATTAACTTGATTCTTTCTGCCGGTTCGTTATTTATTTCTTATCATTCTGGCTTCCCATACATTAAATTCCCAGCTTATCTACTCTGAAGCAGACCAAGGGCCAACTTCAGAATCTCCGTTGGCGCGACTCACATTGCAGCGACGGCCAGGGATTGCCAAGTGCCGGGCTCAATTCACTGTCACTTCTACTGTCGACGGATAATCACGATACCGTTAAGCTCTCCTCAAATGCCGCCATCAACGAGGAAGATGATAATCAGAATCGCCGCCCTCACAGCCTTCTGGCATGTAAGGCTCAGAAGTGGCCAAAGCAGCCACCGAAAGTGGTGTCTTCCTCTAAGAGCGATAAAATGGACTACGAAAAGCCAAGTTCTCGACAAGATGCACATCTAGATCGACAGGAAGAAAAGACAAACCAGCATGGGTTGAAGCGATTGAAGCGTCAGGCGAAGGAACAACAACAAAGATTTTTAATGCGGCAGCAGCAAGAGGGAGAGAACATGCATGATTGCGCCATTAACACTCAGATGAACTGGAGTCGTAATGGAGACAGCAAAAGGGCACTCGAACTAGCTACCACCGCCATGACTCCTAGACCAAAATCTGAAGGTCACTTTTATGATGAGATGATGTCCGGCACCTCAGGTATATACTTCAGACCGTTATTAATCAAACTCTATTATTTTTATAAATTTTCTTCTTCCTGCATTTCCTTGTTGTAAAATCATTCAGTTCCTTTTCCCACTTGCTGAATCCTTATTAAGGAAGGTTTTGTCTCTAAAATTGTTGGCCATTCAAGCCTGTGATTCACTTCGAGTCCTATGTATGAAAAATAAGGTATTTGTTTGATTATTTATAAATGAATTATCTGATTGAAAGAATACAAATCCATGCTTTAAGTAGTTTTAATATTGCTATATCTTAGTATGTGTGGGTTATTTTTTAATGATGAATTGAAACCCTCCGTCTTAGAAAGCATAAAATGAGAATACTCCATTTAGACAAAGCTGAAGTTGGTGTTTTTCCAATAGTCTGATTTGGATCGGGAGCATAGATGCGGACCATTAGCAATGATCTGAATTCTGAGCAAGCAATTAACCAAAAAGTATATAATAATATTATTCAAGTATGGGCGACTTTTCTTGGTATTTACTGTCTAGAATATTTGGGTTTGTAAATCATTCTATTCTAGACTTCTCATTAACAGCTAGTCTCATTGCCCCTACTTTGTGTAATCCCCTTATTCACTAGCCACGTCTACAAACTTATGTTTTTATTAGCACACTCATATTTTACCTACAGCTATTGAACCACTCTTTTGCTTAGTATATGTTTATCTATGTTTATCCAACATTTCAATCACACCGTCTCAGCATCCTTCGCTACACAACATTCTAGATAACCATTCACCTTTGCAACTCTTCCATCTATTAACTAAAATATGCACTCTTAGGTCTTAAACTTTTGCCTTTGCATCCTTTGGGTCTTATTTTCTCTCATTTCTTAACCTAAAGCATAAAACATTAATCTTCTGGTATCTTCACTGCTTCTAAACATTCCCCAATCAATTGTTTGAAAACTTTTGGTTGCTTCATAACTGGTTGGAATAATCTAAGTTCAGGAAATTATCTCATATTACATTATATTACATTACATTACATTACATTATATTTTAAGGTTAGGTCTAAGCTTGAGTTTACATCTTAGGATGACATCAAAGTCTTGACTTCTCAATATCATCACTCGAGCAAAGCTGCTTAGTTTCCACTATGATTCTAATCGGATTATTATTATTTCATTAAAATAGCACTTTACATTTTGGTTAAAGAGTAAATTCGCTTATTTTATTAATTGCACCCAGCATATCACTGAGACTGAATCCTTTCCTCTTCCCCGGCATAGTATTCGACGTGGTATACTATATTTTGCTTCGGGGAGTGCTGCATCAGATTCGAGAGGAATTTCCTGTCCTGACTATTTTTAATTTTTCGGCACGACTCAAATAGATGATACTGATGCCGCCATTCTCTCTGCATAGTTTAGGAGAGTCCATGGAGAATCCACTCTAGAATTTGTTCTATGGTTTAAGACATGTAATGTAATCTTGAGCTTATCCTCTTAATTTCACTCGTTCTAACCGCTACCTTTGCAGTTATATCAGAATTTATTATCACTCTAGGCCACAAACCTAGGATGAATTTGCTCTCAAATCTTCTAAACCGCCTTTGAATAAGTAACTCTATCATAGTCATAGCTTTGTACATGCAGATGGCAATATTTTATGTAACAAGGCTTATTCATTCTAGCCTTTGGACGCTGTGTTCTCTCGAAGCCCTTAGTTTCCTCACAATTTATTTCTAACTTAGTCTTACTTGCGACTATCCTACTTCGGTCGAATAGACTTCGGCTCATATTTGTTGCTTCTTATTTTATAAAAAGAGTAAATTAAGTTAATAAATTAAAATTGACCTTGTATTGGCCTACCCAAAACATTTCCTATTAATTAGCCATCCTACTGTTAATATTACTTTTGTTCTTATACATTTTCATTTCGGTTTCATTTTCTTAGCATCTGCCATGGGCTGATTCGCGATCTTTATTAATTTTCTCTTTTTTAAATATGAAATCATAAAAATTTGGAATCAATTCATACCATTTAATATCTAATTATCCAGCTCAAAAGTTATTATTGTACACAGGGCACCTAAATGGCTAGTATAACCCATAGTATTTGTTTGGAAAAAGACTTATTAATAATGTTACTAATGTATTTTTATCTTCTACTTTTGCAGCATTTGATTCACTAACAATTTATCCCTTAGCTACAAAGT